AATGTACCAACATCTTCCTAAACATATTTTATAAGTATGTATATACATAAATGAATGCATATGTTTACATACATACATACATACATTTAATAAATAAAGGTATGTGTAGTTTTTTTTTGTTTTTTTTTTTATTTATAAAATTTTCATTTGACGTCTACAAATGGTTTGGCTGTTGTTGCTTCTTGATGCCAATTGTGGTTATACACATAAGTATTATGTATGTCAGCTAAAAAGAAAAAAAAAACGAAAAACATTCAAACATCCAAAATGTTTTTTTTTTAAATAAAATTAAAAAGAAAAAATAAAAATCTTGTTTTCAAGTGAATATTTTGACTTTTTTCTGTGTTTCTTTTTAAAATTTTCTTTTCTTTTGTTTTTTTTAAAGAATTTGTATATTTTTAGTTTTCCATAAATTTTTATTGTACAGACTTAATTTTTTTTTTGTTTAGTACATACATATATTTTTATGATTTTTTTTTCATTCTAGATATTAAAGATTTACAATTTTGTATATTTGTGTTTTTGTCGCAATTATTTTAAGAAATTATGTGTATTTCTTATACACAATATACTTAGGGTCTAAAAGTTAGGTATATTAGGGAAGAAAGAGTAGTACATACTAAGGTAGTTGTATTATAATTCAATTGTAGAAATTTAAATTTAAAAATCAATTTTGTAGCTTCAAACTACTTCAAAATTACGGTCTTCCTTTTGTTACAAAATATTTCAAATAACTAAAAATTCTAATTAAAACATGTAAATTTTAAATAAAACCGTGGAGATTTATTAAATATAATGAAAATTTTTTCAAAAATGTTAATACCTATCGATGATATAGAAAATTTTTAATTTTTGTTATAATTTCGAAATGCATGAAACTGTTTAAGCAACTATCAGAAATTTTAATAAAGGAAAAGAAAATGTAGCGTTTTATCTTTTTTTTATTTTGTAACTTATTTACTGAAAAATAATTCTATTGTATCAACTTCAATCTTATTAAAATTCTATTACTTTTAATTAAGTCCTCTATTTTTCATTCATTCCAAAAAATTTTTATATTATATGATTTATATGTGAATAAAGGGAAGAGAGTTTTTATAAAAACGTTTTATTCTCACGTTTTAAATTGTATAAAAACAACAAAAATAATTATTTAATTAACAGTATATAATAAAAAAAATTAAAAACTATTATACAAATAATTATTAAATTCCCATTCATATATTTTTATATTACATGTGCTGATGTACGATAATATAAATTAAGAATAATAATTATTATAAATATTATTTTCATTAAATTGTTATATAAAATATATAGGTATTGTTGATAATTATTTTTTTAATAAAAATTCAGATGCATACTTAATATTTATTCGATATACAAAATGATAGAACTTTAAAATTTTAAAATCTTTTAAAAGAAGTTTCTTTTGTTGAATGCAAAGAAGTTTCTTTGTAATTTGAATATAATTATTACTTATATAATAATTTGTTATATCAATTAATTATATGGAAAATTTTTATTTATCATACATCAAAGAACACAATCATGTTAATTATCAAAAAGTATTAATTAAATTGAATTAAAAGAAAAAATTTAATATATTATCATTTGAACACGATTATTTAAAATTAAATATAAATATAGATAAAATTGTTTATATAATTATATATAAAATATATTATGTATTTAATAATTTTTTCTCTATCTATATATTTATGTACATATGTAAATTTTAATCTGAATATTAATTTTATTTAATTTAAAAACTTAATTATCCAAATCCGATTTATATTTTATTTGCCTTCAATAATTTTTGTAAATTTGACATATTTTTTTTTTAAAAATATTTTATTTAAATTCAATGTTGAATAAAATATTTGTGTATGTACAAGAAATTTGTAAAATGAAAATCTTCATTGAAGTATTGAAATATTTATTACAAAGTAACTAAATTTTATGATTTGAGTATTAAATTTAATTATTTATTTACAAATCTATATATGTATATGACATACAATGTATAAAATCTTAGAATTGTAGGAAATATTTGAAAAACTTTTGGTAGAAAATATATACATATTTCGCAAACATTAAATTGCGCCAAAAATCAATTAACAAAAATTTCATTAATACACACAAACACATATACCAAAATTTTATTTTATTTTTATACAAAACAAAATATTCTTAATACAATATTAAAAAAGTAAATAATATTATGTACTATTCACAGCGTATATTAATTGAATTTACAGTAATTATGCTGTTATTTAACATTTGTTATAAAACACGTAAAACTTAGCAAATATGTATGTTATTTTAGAGTTACCTGTTGTATTACATAAACAAATGTATTAAATGCATATATTCTTCAACATTTTTATTAAAATTGATGACCTAATATATTAAGTGTGTCATAAAATTTTTTTAATAATCACTAATTATGATTATGCCAAATTAGAAAAAAAATGATTACAAATTATGGTTATAGCAATACTAGAAAATCAATAAAAAATTTTTTTTTTAAACTAATTAAGTAAATCATATATAGATTATAAATAATGATGGGAATTCTTAAAATAGGAAATAAGTGTAATAAAAATCCTTTAAAATCACTAATAGAGTGTATATACCAAGTAAAATTCGGTTCTAAATTCGTCCATAATGTTTCATTTTGGGTAAATTTACGTTATTAATTAAAATTGTCTACTAAAATTTGATTTTAGTAAATTTTCTCAGAAACTACATAGATATTATTTTTATAATATTCAAATTTTGAAAATCAAAATTTTTTTAATGAAAAATTAATAATCTACTTATATAAATAAATTGAGTAGGTACATATATCGAAAATTATATAAAATCAAAAAAAAGACTAAATTATTGTATAAGACTCAAAAATTGTATAAGAGAATTTCTTTCGAAATCCTTAAAAAACATACGTACATAATTTGTCATCATACTTTTATATATGTATATATTATGTGCACATAATATGTACATACATTTATACATGTACATTATATATTTGACAAATATTTTGATATTAGCACGTGTAGTGTATTGTATATGTAGATTTTTTTAAAAATTAAAAATTTTGTTAAAGTATAATTTTTTATAAAATGTATACGCAAGTACACACATCATAATTAGATTAATATATACATATATGCACATATATAATATAAAAATATATAACATACTTATAATTTGAATTTTTTTTTTTTGAATTTCCTTTAAATATATATATATTTATTTTTCTCTTTTGACATTATTTCTGTTACATAAAATAATAAATCACGCGACTAGACATCATCTAATCACATAAATGAGCCATACAGTCTTGTATGAATGTACCTACATACACATTGTTAAAAATAAATTTCAAATGAAATTGAAAATTTATTATTAAATAATATTTATGTACGTATATATATATGTATATATGTATTTTTATATATTATAAAGTATATTTAACGAAATATAATTTAAATGCCAAAATATTATGTACAAACAGATTTTTGAATGTATGTACTTATGTATGTACATTTATAAATTTGTATATATGCGTAAAATAAATTCATTATAAACTCTATACACTTATATATTTAAATACAAAAATTATATATGCTTTAAAAATAAAAATAAAATGATGAAAAAAAAAATTAAAAGAAAAAAAATACTTAAATAAAAATATTTTTTCTTTTCTTACATTTAAAGATTCTGCAGCGGAAATCGTTGAATTTTTTTCTCATTTCTGATTTTCTTCTGCTCCTCTTCTGATCTTGTTATATTATGGTATTTTTCTGTTTTTTTTTTTTGTGATTTTTGTAATTTTAATGAACTGATATTTTTTCACTGTGTACAAACATTCTGCTAAGAATATTGTGTTAAACATATTTATATACATACATAATGTAATAATGTTGAAGCACAAGTGGGTTTAATATTTCAAAGGATTAAAAAAAAAATAACAAACAAATAAATAAAAGAAAAATTTTGTAATTTGGGTGAAAAATTATAATGAATTAAAAAAAAACAGATCAATTTTTTTTCACAAATTCAAAAAAAATTAAAGTATAATATAATAACAAAAAAAAATTTGAAAAACAAATAATTTGTGTTCTACAATAATATAAATTTATTCCAAATTATAGAAAAAAAATTATCATATGTGAACTAATTACCTAAATACGAAAAAATATAAAAATAAATTAAAAGTATTAAAAAAAATTTTTTTTTTAAATCAAAAACTTTTTTTGTTAAAACAAGAACATTTTTTTTTAAAACAAAAAACTTGTTGTTAAAACAAAAAAAAATTACAGTGAAATCAGAAATCGATAAAGAAAAGAAAAATTTTTACACTTTACCTCCAAAAAATTAAAAGGTGTTTAATTAATAATTAGAAGTGCTTCTATTTAAAATAAAATACAAAAGAAAGAATAAAATTAAATAAATTAAAAATCCTAATATTTATAACAAATGAACAAAATTAATGGTTAATTAATCATTTAAAAACAAAATATAATAGTGATATTTAAAAAATAATTAATTATAAAATTAAAGAATACATTGAAAGAACAACAAATAAGTAAGAAAATAAATAAAAAACTCGAATAAGGAAAAAGGAAAGACATAAAATCATCTGTGATAGATTAATTTTATGATTGAAGAGAAATAATTCATTCATTCTTAATTAAAAACTTATCAATCAACAACAATAAGAGAAGAGAAAAAAAAAATTAGAAAAAAAAAAAAACAAGAGATTCTTACAATCAAAACAATTCAAATAAATTTAAAAATATTGTGGTTTTTTTTTTTTGTTTTCTTGAAATTTCAAGAATAAAAAAGAATAAATAAAAATTTTACATAAAAAAATAATATAAAAATAAAATCAAAAAAATTCTAAATTGAAAATGTTGTAATAGGAAAATAAAAAGAGCAACAACAGAAAAATTTTATTTTGTAAAATTTTCTCAATTTGCTGGATCTAAAAAAAAAAAACAATTAATAATATTGAATTTAAAAATTATAGTGAATGAGAAAAAAAAAAATAATAGAGAATTTTATTCAAATATAAAAATTAAAATCAAGGAACAACTTTTTGAAAACTCTTAAAAATTACTGGACAAAATAACAAAAAGCCAACAAAATCCCATATAAAATTCAGACATGGCGCCGAGATCACAGAGAAAAAGAGCACATGGTAAATTCAAATAAAAATTTCCTTTTTATTCTTGTTGCATTGCTTGTTTTTTTTTTTTTTGTTTTTAAATTAATTTTCTTTCTCTTTTTGCTTATATAAAAAGTGTTTTTGGTTGTTGTTTTTATCACTGCGATTGTTTGTTGTTTCTGTTTGTTATGTTGGTCGCTGTCCTCTTCTTATTATTATTATTATTGTTTTTTTTTTTTTAAAAGAACACCGACCATGCCATACATATGTATATACTTTACTTTTGCATTTTGGAACTTATTGTTTTTCACTTTTGTTTTATTCTATTGATTTTGATTTGCCGTCTTGTTGTTGTGAAAATGTGTTTGTTTATATAATAATTGTGTGTATATTCGTTAATATTTTGATATTGAATTTTTTTTTATCTAATTTAAATTAAATAAACCAAAAATAATATTTAATGAAATTTTCATAATATGCATGGATTTTTTTTTTTAAATTATATAATTAAAAGGTGCCAGAAAAATTCAAAAATTGTATATTTAATTAAATGTTCATAGTTATATTTTTTTTGATATTGATGCACATATACTCGTACAATAATTCTTATTATAATTTCTTATAACATAAGAAAGTAAGTACATAATGACATTTTTCGTAATTAATGTATTAATTAAACGAGGCTGTGAAATATTTTTTTTTCACTTAAGTCTAAAAAGTGACATTTTTTTTGAATGTTCTTGCATTTAAATATTAGAAATGTTGTAAAATCTCTTGTTGTTTGAGAAACAAATTGTATTTAAATTCGTTATTTGAAACATTTACTCTGTACATCCCTGAAAATGTCAATGCTGGAAAATAATAACATCATAATTTAAATAACAGAACATTATTGATATTTGTTTCTTCATATAAAAACACAAATAACAACAAGCGAAAATTTGTCATTTCCAGTGAATTTTTCCAAAAATAAAAGATTATGTTGTTGTATTTTTATTAATATATAAATGTATTTTTAATTTACAAGTAAATTTATGTTTTTCAACAATTTGAAAACGAATATAATACAAAATTAAAAAATAATTTTCAAAATAAAAATTTGAGTGTTTTTACGTTTTAAAATTATTCATTTGTTTTCCACAAAATTAAAATAAAATATGAGTTTATGATTGTATGTACGTGAATATATATTTGAAATTTTGAACCATTTTTATAATCTCAATAAAAATCAATCTAATCTTAATATATATTCTTTAGTTAATATTTAATTTATTTAATTTTGTTTTTGCAGGGGTGGGTATAGAATAGTACATATTTCAAAAATTCTGATTTCAATTTCAATGAAACATTACTAATTGTTACATGAAGGAAAATTACCATGCTACTAATTTACATTACTTACATTTTATTAACATTGAATTAATATTAACACTAGTTCACCTGCATGGAATTTTTGTTAGTGTCAAATTGTGGAATCGGTTCACGGAAACACGTGAATTTTTTTGTTTTTGATAAAATTTTCAGTATTTTGAACTTGTTTTTTTGGATTTTTATTAAAAAATTTTTTTAAAATCATAAATTTCTTCAAACACTTATATCTAATGCACTACGTATTTTTTTTACGTAAACCACTTAAGAATGGAAGTGCATTATGTGTGTATACATATTCAAAGATGTATATTGAAACATATTTTTGGAAATTAATATTTGATTTTAATAATTTTTAAAAATATTTGAGTATTTGTATTTTTGTTACACCTAAAATTCTATAAATAAAACTGGATGAAAATGAAAGCACGAATTTGGGTCATACTAGTTTGTACGTTTTCATAAAAACAAAAGGCATATTTTTTCCTGGCGTTTTTCATTTGGAATTTGTAAAGTGATCACATTTAAGTTAAAATTTTTATGATTTAGTTTTTATAAGTATTCATTTCATATTAAAACTATTACTTAGCAACAAAAAAATTGTTTTAAATCGTAAAATTCATTCATTAATTTTAACATTTCAGAAGAGTTTTCCAATTAACTTAATTCTATCTTTAGCCATGTGTATATGTAACTATGTATGTTCAAAAAAAATATTCTGATTCCTAATGAATTACAATTTCTGATTACAAAATTAAGGTGATAATTACAAATAAATCAACTGTTCTACTTGATACTGCACTAAACACCGATTCATTACTAAGTTGATTCAATTATTTTAAAAATAAATATTTCGATAAATAAGTAAATCTGTAAATTTATCAAATGCTATTCTAAAATTTCTTACTTAGAATGATTATGTATGAGTTTCCCTCATATACGAAAATTACTAAATAAGTTGAATTACGACGCATTTAATATTTAAAATAAAAGTAATATTTTTTTTCTGATACTAAAAATTGAAGAAAATGAAGTCATTTATAAGTTTTTAATTGGGCCGTAGTGTCTAGTATGCACTCATCATTTATTTACAAACATTAACTCATATTTGAGATATCCATTGTGTACTTAATAGTCATATGACATCAAGATGACCTCCTCCTTTTATTTTTCTTTGTAAATAAAAACACTAAATCAATATATTGATAAATATGTACACATATAAAGCATATATGTATTATGTAGATAAATATCGGTTAAGTGTTGCCAAATTATCAATTTTTTAAAACTTTTTATTGAAAATTTAACGATCGATTTTATTTGATTAGCACAAATTAATTACACTAACGAGACAATTAATTTTAGTCCATTATTCTTCAAACATGTTTTACAACATATTAAATTTTTAAACTATTAAATATCTTAAAATGTGTCATAATTTTTGAATATTACAAGTTAATTTCCTTAAACACCTTCTTGTTATGTTTCCACAATATTGAATTTATCTTAGATTAACACTTTTTCACGTTAGATTTATTAAAATTTGAGGTAACTTTTAAAAAGAATTGAATTTTGCCTCATATTTTGATAAATGAATATTAATTCCACTCTCGTTGACATTTTGAGTCTTCGAACATGCGCAATCTAAATGCGACTTTATTAATTTTACATATACTTACGTTTAAAATATATTTAGAAAATCAACTACTCAAACAAATTGGTATTTATTCTATTTTTACAATCAAACATAAGCGAAAATTTCATTTAAAATCCTATTCATTGAACATATTCATCATACAAAAAGGTTGCACATCAAATCAAACAAAATGTTTGACTGTGTTGGAAAACATGATTGACAACAACAAATCGATATTAATTATTTGTTGTCGAAGAATCTGACCACCTTTAAATTCGTATAATACTCATTACTTATTTACTGAAATTAATTTCCACTCATTATGCTCTTAATAATTTAATTTTTTTTTAAACTTTCTTATCAAAAAGTCTTAATAAACAAAACAAATCATTAATTTTTTTTTTATGTATGCGCGTACTTGATTTATTGATAATGTTTACCAATTCTAAAGTAATGAAGATAAAAAATAAAAATAACTTATAAGAAAATCATATAGGTGTCGCTTAAAATACATAAATGATACAACCGTACCAAAAAAAATTTGTGCACATGTGTGTATGTTTTTATCAACAAAATTAAATGCACAGGTTAATTTTCAATATTATTCGATACGGTTATTCACTCAAGTATTGTGCAAGTTAAATATGAAAAAGAAGAAAAAGAAACGATGTCATATCATAAGAATTTTCGTTTCTTAAACCCTACATTCCTTAGTGATCGGTATATTAACTTTGTTATGGAGTTTGTAACTATTCAAAGGAGTCGTCTGTGAATAGTTATAAAAGTATACTTATTTTTGTTTACCGTAACATTTTGGGTTTGTTTGGACATGTTCGTCGGTACGACACTAACAAACTTTCAAAAATTGTTGCTTTTCTTCCAAGAGAGCTATTGTTATTGGAGCCATTCGAAAAACGGATTCGAATAGCTGCCATTCAACTCAAAAATATTATTTTAAATATTTTAAAAACTATTTTGTATACAGTCAAATTGCCCGGCATCCAAATGTAGGGTATAACTCAGTTGGTTAAGATTGACTGAAACGTTTTTAGTTTTTGTTGTTTTTTTCTTTTAATTTTCCATAAAAATTTTAAGGTAAATCGTAAATCGAGGTATTAAAAGTTCCAGGAACCAATATAATTCTTAATACTGCGCAATTTTACTTAGTATAAATAACAATTATATTATGCATAGAAAATACATATATATATATAGGTACATACATACGTACATACGTTTAAATTATAAGTGTTCATATACATGTTCGGTTATATTCGTAGGTTCTTTTACAAAAGCATAATTTTGCAATAAATTTTCAATTTTTACACTGAACTCAATATGTATGTAAGTAGTACAGATTTTTTATGTTATTGTTTTTGTTTTTTTTTGTTAATGTTGCATTATAGCATAATCTATTTAAGTACAAACATGCAAACACTATATATGTAGAAATATTAATTGGAATTTATAAGAAAAGTAAAAAATAAACTAGAATAATTGGGTTTGGTTTTTGAATGCGTTTAAGAAATTATGTATCTAGGGAATTTAGTAGATTATTATCGGAATTTATGCAAAAATAAATACTTGTGTCACATTATACGTTTTGTTTCTTTTATTAAATTAAAATCCAAGTCTTATAGATAAAAATGGATTAAGTATGTTTTTGTTGATACATATAGAAATTTATTTACTTTACAAATTTGTGTATTATAACATATTTGATGGTATTTTTATATAAGTATGTAAGCATATTAAATGAACTTTGTATTTTTGAATACATTAACGTCAATGTTAATATTATTTAGATGCAATAAAATCCGTACAATTTTAAGACATTCTATATAACTTTGGTATGTACTAGCGGTATGAAATATCAAAATTCTTTAAATGCCAAAAATTTTTAATTTAATTGCTGTAATTTATTTGATATTACTGGCTAAAACAATAATGCAGTATATTACGAAATCGTTCCAAAATGTATTTATGTGCTAAAGCAAAAAAATTGCGTAAACATGCTTGCATACCTTGT